GCCAGCCAGCCAGCTCCTGGGCTCCCATAAATCAAGGCAAACCAGGTATTTGCCTGGGCATTTGGGGGCGGCGTTTTTTGCCGCCCCTTGGAAATTGATGCTCATTGCCGCCGTGCGCTTCTGTTTGGGAGCCAGGAGCAAGTGAAGTTTAATCACCTTCTCTCAGCACAGCTAGTGCTCGCGGGAACAGCCGCGGGCCCTATGTGGCAGCCTTCCATAGACGGTCACATGTAGAGAGTAGGGTTCCTGTATAGGTGGACTGCCGGCAGGTACAAGGAGATCCCAACCACCAGTAACAGAAGATCCAATCAGGAGCTTCTCATTCTTGTCTACGGGATCTGATCTTATCCCATAAACTCCTGCCTCAGGTTATTTAACCCCTTAAGGACAGTGGGCATACTATGCTGTCCTTGAGGACCCGGTACTAAACTCCAGCGGGTGGCATAGTACATCCAGGCCGTCCTTCCCACTTACCTGCTCACCGCCGATCCCCCTGCGGCTGATCGGGCCGTCCCTGGCCATGTGATTGCGATGACATTGTGATCACATGGAAGGAATAGCTGTCCAGAGCAGTGCCTGCAGGGGGCCTGCCTGTCATTCTGATGCCTGTATTAAAGTTAGATAAAGTTTAAAACAGTTTAAAAGTAAATTATATATACTAAGATCATATATATATATATATATATATATTTGTGTAAGGGGCAAATAGCCGTATATGGAGTAAGGATCCAGCATAAGCATAGGATAGTATAAAGGGAGCAAGTCGGTTGTGGTGTGCTGAGACCGACGATACGGTAGGCCTGTAAATAAAGAGGGCCCACCAAGGAGTAAGTAAGTAAAGTAAATGGAAAGAAAAGAGAAAGTGCTGAAAGGAGGAGTGGGTGGAAGGGTCATTCTGATGCTGACCTCAAGCGATATGAGTCAGGTAAGGGGTGTCCCTTATATAGGGGAGTGAATTAATTTAAGCCCCTCCCACAAATACAGACCAAATGGCCTTAACACTTATGTATTTATATATGATCTAACTATATACATATACACATACACTATGTCTCTAAGTGTATTTTAATATGTAATATTAAACTATTTTTGCATTTTCACTGACGATATCATTGTTGTGAAACGTTTTACTGTTTTGAAACACTAATATTTGTGTTCAACGAAGTCTCCCGAGTACAACAGTATCCCCATGTACAGGTTTTATGGTGTTTTCAAACGTTACAGAGTCAAATATAAGGCTTGCATTTCAGTTTTTTCACATTGAAATTTGTCAGATTGGTTATGTTGCCTTTGAGACAGTGGTAGCCCAGAAATGAGAATTACCCACATAAAGGCATACCATTTACAGAAGTAGACAACCTAAAGTATGTCTAGTCTTTTTTAGTAGCCACGTAGTCACAAACACTGGCCAAAATCAGTGGTAAAATTAGTTTTTTGCATTTTTAACACAAAAAAATATGAACGCTAATTTTGGCCAGTATTTGTGACTAAGTGGCTACTGAAATTTGTAATACCTTGGGTTGTCTACTTTTGAAAATGATATGCTATTACGGGGGATAAATCTCATTCATGGGCTACCATTTGGTCTCAAAGGCAACATAACCAGTCTGGCGAATTTCAATGGGTATACACTAAAAATGTAGCATGCTATATTTGACCCTGTAACTTCCCAAAACACGTTCCTGTTTTACTTGTGAGGCATTGCTGAATAAAATATGTGTATTTTATTGTGGTAACAGCTAACAGTATTATGGCATTCACAGTTAAAATGTCACGTAGAACTAAAAAAAAATTGCATTTCTTAATTTTTTTAAAAAATGTTTCTTTTATTCATATTAATTTATGTTTCATATATAAATAATTGATATGAAATGAAAGCCCTGCTCCTCCTGAGCAAAATTATATATAATAAGTGTATTTAATATGAAAGAGGTGAATTCTGGTTGAACAGACATAAAGCGCAAAGTTTTGTTTACGTTTAGTTTTGATCTGAACTTGTACAACTGCCTCAGTCCTTAAGGGGTTAAATGGTCCATTTCAGCATAAAATTAGCAATTTGCTTCTAAATTCTCCACAATTCCCCTTCAAAATAATCCAACAGGACAAGAGAGAATACTTAATTTAATATTATTACTACTGATGGCGAATTTAGAATAGGAGAGCATTTAATAAGCTTGGCCAGCAGGTGGCACTCCAATCTCATTTTGATTAGTCTTTTTGGAGGGCTCACTAAAGCTAAGATGATGCGAAAAAAAATCTCCAATAAAGCTATTTATATATTAATATCCATTTTAATTTTTACAAACATTCTGTGCATTATCACAGATAGGGCCTATGCGCTAAACAAACCCACTGTCACACTGTCACAGGCCCACTCTCACACTGTCTGTCACAGACCCACTCTCACACTGTCACACGCCCACTCTCACACTGTCTGTCACAGACCCACTCTCACACTGTCACACGCCCACTCTCACACTGTCTGTCACAGACCCACTCTCACACTGTCACAGCCCCACTCTCACCCTGTCACAGACCTATTCTCACACTGTCACAGGCCCACTATCACCCTGTCACAGAACCACTCTCACACTGTCTGTCACAGACCCACTCTCACCCTGTCACAGACCCACTCTCACCCTGTCATAGGCCCACTCTCACACTGCCACAGACCCACTGTCACAGACCTACTCTCACACTGTCACAGGCCCACTCTCACACTGTCACAGACCCACTCTTACACTGTCACAGACCCACTCTCACACTGTCACAGGCCCACTCTCACACTGTCACAGACCCACTCTCACACTGCCACAGACCTACTCTCACACTGTCACAGGCCCACTCTCACACTGTCACAGACCTACTGTCACACTGTCACAGGCCCACTGTCACAGCCCCACTCTTATGCTGTCACAGGCCCACTCTCACACTGTCACAGGCCCACTCTCACACTGTCACAAACCCACTCTCTCACTGTCACAGACCCACTCTCACACT